AGTAAGGTCTTGCCTGCTTGTCATTTGTGTGTAGAGCAATGGAGGGGAGAGGGGGCACAGAGAAAGAATGGGGTGGATGACGGCTTGGGCAAATGGAAGGGGTAAAGTCACCTAGGTGGTTAAGCTGAGCATGCTGATGGAGGTTTGAGCCCATGATCAAGCTGCTTTCTTTTAATCAGATGCTCCCAAGAACAAGAAGGATCCCTAATATGGGACTCAAAAAAAAAAAAAAAAGAACCTTTGAAGATAACTATTTCAACTTCTTATGAGTGAATCATAATTCTTTTTTCCTAAATAAGTGATCGTGAAGTTTGTTTTTTGTCTCACATGTGATGTCTCTTCCACATTCTATCCCATCTATTATTTCTGAGCCATCATATTCCCCATTATAATTTGCTAATATGTGCTTTTATTATCTACCCATTTAAGATTTACTTAAGAACTGTGCACAGGTATCCTAATTTAAGAAATATATGCCATCAGGTATGCTTGCAGCTCTCCAAGTGCACAGGGTACCTTTAACTATGTGCACTCAGTTTACACCACCTTTGTGCAAGGGGCGGGTTTTGCCAATGTTATGGCAAGAAAAATCATTATTTTTGCCCATTATTTTAGGGATCACTTTCCTTCTGTCTGACGCACAGCCTTTAGACTTTCTATTGGTCAAAGTATTTTTCAGTCTCTCATTTCCTTAGAAATGCCTCGGTGAGGCATTGGAGCTTCCCCAAACTGAGAAGAGGTAACCTGAGAGGAGGTAACTTTTATCAATCAGTATCTCAAAATCTTTCTATTTCCTTTGCCCTGTCCCTTGGATTTTATTCTTGAAGTCCAGCCAAGAATAATCTGACACTTTGGAGACTCCTGGCCTTTCTGTTGTAATGCTGCAATTCATGTTTCAGCCTGGACGTTGTTGACTAACCAGAAACATAAACTTCCGTTTCTAATAGATCTTCCTTCTCCTATGTATAAACTATTATAATACCATTTGTTAAATTTGCAATTTCAGTTAGCAATGGGTGGAAATCTTTTTATTAATACTTGTTTTTTACTATGTATGTGTGTACATATGTATGTATGTCTGCATGTGTTAGCCTGCATGTTTATATATGAACCTTGTGTGAGCATGCTGGGAGAGGGTGCCACAGCCTCCATCAGTTCAGTGGTGAGAGGATTTCAGTGGAGTTGACTGCTGGGGTTACTGAGGCTGTTGTATCTCTGGCTCTTTCCCCTCTGCAGACATTCATGGGTCTAATGGAAATTCTGTTGATTCCCAGTGCCAAGCCTCCGTTTCTTGCCTTGGAGGTTTTCACTGGCTTTTGTTTTTCTTCACACCCCCAAAACCATGAGGTCAGCTTTCTCTTAGACCCACAACAGATGACACCCACACCAAAGCTCCAGCTGGATTTCTCCAGGAACACATGATACGGTGACGGCTACCTTTGTATCCACTAAGGCACTGGTAGACCCTTTCTGCCTCCTGTGCGGTAGTCAGTGCTAGTCTGACGATTGGTGATGGGGAACCCTGAGGGGGACTTCTCCTGTGCTTTGCCAAAGCATCCCTGCCTTGACCTTTGCTCTGGTTTTCCTGGACAGCTCTTGTCTCATTCATAGCCAGAGGTGTCTGTGGGGACAATGAAAATAGGTCCACAGCTCCCTAGTGATGACAGAGGACACACTAAATATGGCTGGGTTGCATACGTTAAAATGACTAAAGGTATAATTTTAGGTTAACTGTATTTTACTGTAAATAAAAATAAACCCCAAATCACCTCTGCTCACCCCAACACATCCCAGCAGCACATAGCCTCTGCTTGCCAGTTCAGCTCTCCTTGGTCTCTATCTACTACTCAGTGAGCAGGGCTGCATACAGAAGCTGTGCCTGCTTGCCTGTTGTCTCCTGCACATACAGGAGCAGATCCCTCCCTGGCAGTGTATTCCTGTACCCCCTGAACCCCTGCCCACCCACCACTGTCAGGCCAGGAATCTTTCCCCCCAAAGACCCCTGAGGAGTCTGCCCTGTCTTGTCTGCATCATAAGGCCATTGTGAATTCCTCTGTGTTCTGGCAGCCAAAAAAAAAAAAAAAAAAGCCCCAACTGGGAAACTTCTCCTGCTTCTCCTGCTAGATCTGTACCTCTTGCACCTCTAGATCCAGGGAGAATTAAATCATTCACTCAAAACTAAATTGGAATGAAGCTTTAAGTGTTTGCATAACTCTCTTAAAATTCACGGCACACTTATAACCTCTGGAACATCTGGAGCACATGAGCTTTGAAAACTCCCAAAATACATCATTTCTGGGGATGAGGCTCTTTCCATCTGGGGAGCCTTGAGATTAATCTTGTCACATTTACATATGTAATCACAGCTCTGCCACATTTGGTCGCACACCTCTGAATGTTGCTGAGTGGCTTGCATCCTTGATTTGTGAGTCGTGAGACTGAGCTATAAAAAAAAAACCCTGAAAATCTGAATGTGTTATTTTTTTTTCAGCACTCATAAATTTATTTTTGCTATTGACGTTGATAAAACTCTGTATGTGAATCAGCTTGGGAACTTGGTGCCATGTGAAACAGCCTTGTGCCTACTAAGGCTTTACTTTCCAGTGTTAGGGACACTGGGCCCCATGACGTTGGCTCATTCCGTATGGTAGATCACAAGTGGGCAAGGTGAGACACATCCCAGTGGAGGATGATTATGTCCAGCTCCCTTGTGCTTCTCACCACTGAATGATCAAAGATGTGGACGGTGTCCAGGCTCAAGGACATGTGAGTGGAGAGGAGGAAGGATGCCCAGTGAGAATAGGAATTGCCCTGTACTTGTATTGTGTCAGCTGGGATAGAAAATCCCCTGCTTTGCTGCAGAGCAGAGGAAGTACTGAACAGCACACCCCAACAGGCAGTCCTTGGGTGGACAGCGCCAGCCATGCTTTGGAATTGCTGTTGTTGCAGATGCTCAAGGCCCTCTGCGGACCCTCAGAAGGGGAAAATCCAAGTGAGGAAACCTCTCCTTAAACAACTCTTTGAAACCAAGATTGTTGATATGAACGTCAGCGGACTGGGTGTTCCAGGGTAGCCAAGTTAAAACTGATAGTTTAACTCTAGGAACCTCTTAAAATTAGTTTACTTATTTATTTTTGCGTGCGTGCGCGCTCACGCGTGCGTGCATGTATGTGTGTGTGTGTGTCTGAGTGTGTTCAGGAACACAGGAAGTGGTCAGAAGAAGGGACTGGGTGGCTTGGCATGTTACGCTTGTGCTAAAATCTCCACTCCATCCTTCAGAATTGCACAGCCTGCCTACGTAACTACTGAGCCATCTCGCCATTACAAATCCTAGGGTTTTAATATAGATCATTATGGACAGACATTGTTAATGGCAAATAAATGTTTGTTTATTTTGTGACACTTGAGAGCTAACCCAGGACCGCTACATGACTAACATTCCTCGTATATTCGGGCACTGGGCTAAGCATTCCATACGCAGTATCCCAGCACGTCTTCACAGTGAACCGAACGGGAAGTATTTCTCTCCAGGTTGGACAGTCAATGGTGCTTGTGCTGCTGGAAAAGCAAGAGAAGCAAACCTCCCTGCTCCGATGGGCCGCAGACAACTTAACCCCATACTAAACAGTGTGGAATCTAACATTGCTTAAGTGATCAGATGTCTAGTTGCAGAGCTGGACAGGGTTTAACTCCAATAATAATGGCAGACGTGCTATGAGGTCAGAGATGCCAGCGTTCTCTTCCATTTGAGCTATCCAACAGGTGACTCCGTCATAGCGAAAAGTCCGTGTTTCAGCAAAAGCAGAAAGATATTTCAGAAAAATATCTTTGGCAGCGGCCCCAGCCCATGTCCATGGTTGCATCGGCAGACTTACGGAAACTAAGAATGTAACACTGCACAGACTCCAAAATGAGTGTGTTTTTTAAGTTAGTAGCGCAGTGAGAGGAGTTTTGATATTTCCTTGGATACCAGTCCTCCTCGTCCTCCTCATTTATGGGGCCCTCTTAAGCCCCAACAGTTCTATTCCCAGCTATGAGTGGGGGCGGGAGAAAACACACAACCTGCTTTTAGTGGACAGCAGGGTAAAGGCCCGGAGTCAGTGTGTTTAAACACACACTCGTGCTGAGGAGTTCTGCCCTGCCATAGGCCAAAGCAGCTTCATTATTTACCAATGGTAATAAAACACATTCACAGCATACAGAGGGGAATTCCACATCACCAAGGTCACCTTTTTGTTTTGAAATGTGTCAGAAGATCCTGTGAACCCCTGGATGGACAGTCCGACAGATGGAATCAGGTGTGAGAAAGAGCAAAGACGGCAGATGTTAGTGAGAGGGAGAATGGAGATGTGAGCGCAGGGGTCTTTGTGAAAACGGTCTGTGTATTTGAACTTTTCTATAACATGATATCAGAAAAATACGTATATCCTAATTCTGTGAGTGCTTAAAAATAATCTTTTATTTCAGGCATCAAGGATTTCTGTTTGTCATTTTAATTAATTAATTAAAAATATCCCCCTGATTACTGTTAAAAACTTATTGGGAGAACCTCCCAGTGTAAGGACTTATTGGGTTGTCTAATTAAAAGGCAGACGTTGCAACCTGATGTGGCCTTGGGTTAAACCTTTCTGCTTCCAAGTCCTAATTAGGGAAAACACTATGGCACTCACTCCTGGCTAGGGACTCAGGAGCAGAAAGTCACTCCAAAGGGGAAAGAGAAGTCCTGCTCAAGATGATGTGAATTGGTGTAAAATCTAAGAACTGGAGCTAAAAAGCTCTGTGAACTCTAAGGTAACTGTGAGGACCACTAGGCAGGACTATGGAAGGAAGGGTTCTGGGTCTGCTTCTGTTTGTTTGCTCTCTGGGGACAGAACTCAGGGATGGGCTCTACCGTTGAGCTACGTCACACACCGTTCTGAATTAGTGTTTAAACTGAGTTTCTGTTTTCCACATAATGGTAATATGTATTTCTCTGTGTTCTTTTGCTTTTGTTCACTAAGGTAATTGTCCGAGGTGGAGGACACATTTTGCCCCATGACCAGCCGCTGAGATCTTTTGATATGATCAGTCGATTCATCTTTGACAGAGGATGGGAACCTTATAATTCATAAACTACTTTCCTTAAATAGCTATGAGTTTTAAACACAAGAGATTAAAAAATAAAGATGTCATGTAAATAAGAAATATATCTTTTTATGTTTGCAAGGTATTTCTTACCCATAAAAGTCACCCTGAAAATGCATGATGTTTTGATTGGAGGTTATGGTTCGTTATCACTCCTAAATGAGAAGCACATGTCTTGATTTAGGGGTTGGGAAGAATGGGTTCTGATGGAATATCTAATCCTTCCCAGAACAGAAAGTTCAATAAATTAATAGACTCATGATAACATCTGGTTCTGTAAATAATGCAACAGTTTGTCTCATAACACATCTGTGTTAATGCCTTTCCTGTGCTTTGATCAAGATACCTGGCATCCAGAAACAGCTAATGGAAGGAAGGTTAGCTTTGGCTAGTGGTTTCAGTCCTTCATGGTCTGCAGGGGCTCAGACCATGGTAGCAGGAATGTGGAGAGAGGCTGTTCATGCACTAGTGGGTCAGGAAGCAGAGAGTGAAGCTAGTCGCTGGGTTGGGTTGCACCTTCCGAGTTCACCCCTTGGTGCTCTCATCAGGGTCTCACAACCTAAAAGTCACAGGCTCCTGAATCAGGGCCACCACGAGGGAAATATTAGTCCACGACATAGTCTAGACTCAAACGATGGTCTCACAACCTAAAAGTCACAGGCTCCTGAATCAGGGCCACCACGAGGGAAATATTAGTCCATGACATAGTCTAGACTCAAACGATGATGAGGTTGATGACTTTACTGAAAAAACAACTGAGCAGTCCGTCCCAAAGGAGAAGGTGAAGGTGGAACAGTCTCAGGATGGGACTTTGAACACACAGACTCAGCACAGAAGGTATCTTGTAATTCTCAGAAACGGAAACTATCCCTGCAGACAGATGATATGTCACCAACTCCCAGGATACAGGAGGTGTGACGCAGAGGGCAAACTCAATCTGTCTTTTCTTTTTTCACGTTTGTTGGTTCAATTGAGTTGTACACACTCAGTAAACAACTTGCAGGCTATATTAGATGAGTCATTTTAAATCTGAGTTTTTAATTTTCTATTTTCTGTGATCAAACAAAGAGCAGCCTAGTCTTTTGTCATTGTTGGAATTAAAACTGAGCGTACCTGGCCCCAGAATATAGGTATGTTGGGATATACATTCGGTAGTATTCCTCTGACTAAACCATCACATCCAGGCAGATTTTTCTTTTGACACACATATCTCTGAAATTCTATAGCACATTTAGGTTTTCAGCAGGTTTTACTCAGGTATGATTTGTCTCACTGAAAAATTAAATTTCTTTTTCTCTTTTTATTAAAAATAGACCTTTTTCTCAAATCATATATTCTGATTGCAGTTTCCCTCCCTCTATTCCTCTCAGTTCCTCCTCTCCTCCCCTCCCATCCAAATTCACCTATTTCTGTCTCTTATTAGAAATAAAACAGGCTTCAAGGGATGCTTATAAAATTATATAAAGTATAATGTAATTCAATAAAACAAATATTCTCACATTGAAATAGTATAAAACAAATGAACTAAAAGAAATAGCCCTCCAAATGGTGTAAGAAACAGATACAGATGTAGAGACCCACTCTTTTACACACTCAGAAATCCCATAAAAACACTAAACTAGAAGCCATAATATATACTCAAAGAACCTGTAGGATACGAAAAAAGAAAAAATACAGAGAGATAAACTAAACATAAAAATTATAAAGTATTTTGTCTTTTTTTATTTGTTTGATTTTTGTTTTTTTAAGACAGGGTTTCTCTATGTAGCCCTAGCTGTCCTAGAACTAGCTCTGTAGACCAGGCTAGCCTCAAACTCACAGAGATCCCCCTGCCTCTGCCTCCCAAGTGCTGGGATTAAAGGTGTGTGTCACCACCACCTGGCTAAGAAAAAAAAATGATTTTAGAAAAGGAAAATTCCTGACACAACAGTAGGAGACAAGGAACCTCCAAAGACGCCACTGAGTTTGTCTTCTGTTGGCATCTGCTGCTGGGGATGTAACTTTGAAAGTAGTTTGTTTCCCCAGTGAGGCTCTCTTAGAGAAAACTAAATTGTCATTTGTAAATGGTTATCAATTAGAGAGAGCTTCTGGGTTAGGGATGTGAGCTTGTGTCCTCTTCTCCTTTCAGCTCTAGGACTCCATTTGGTGCAGACCTGAGCAGGTCCTATGCCTGGTTTCTCAGTCTCTGTGAGTTCATATATGTGATTATCATGTTGATTTAGAGGGACTTGTTTATTTTGATTTGCTTTGTTTTTAGTGTTCTCTATTCCTTCTGTCTCTTACACTTCCTACCTCCTCTTCTGCGGGTTTTCCTGAGCTCCAAGGGGAGGGAGATGGAGACATCCCATTTAAGGCTCAGTATTAAGAGGTCTCTCTTTGTCCGTTGTCTGGCTGTGGGTCTCTATATTTGTTTCCATTTGTTGCTTCTCTGAAGCTTCTTTGAAACTTCAGGAGGAAGCTTCTCTGATGGTGGCTGACTAAGTCACTGATCTATGAGTGTAGCAGAATGTCTAGGGATCACTTTATTGCTATGTTGGTTACTTTTGTTGTTTTTTGTTTTGCTTTGTTTTTAGAAAAGTAGCATTTGGTTTTACCCTAGTTCCCTGTCTAGTCTCAGGGTTTTGCTTATCCAAGTAGTGTCTAGTAAGGGTTCCATCTCGTGGAATGGGTCTTAAGTCAAATCAGATATTGGTTGATTACTCGCATAACTTTGTACCACCTTTGCATTAGCCTGTCTTGTAGGCAGAACACCACTGTAGATCAAAGCGTTTGTGGCTGTGTTGGTGCTTATGTTTCTCCTTTGATGGAATGCAGAGATACCTTCCTGAACCAAAGACACTAGAATGTAGGGGTGAAGGCTCCATGTAGGCCCAGCTCAGCTTCTCCATGTTCAGTGAGCTGTGTAGGTGTTGTCTTCAGCAATGGGACTTTGCTGTGAGTTTGTCAAGAGCAACCTCTAGTCTTAGTAACAGCCTGGGTTGTTTGGGAATTCCAATAGGACCTCTTTGACCAACAACTCAATTAAATGTAACCCAATCCCAGTAGTGGAGGCTCCATTTGGTAACAGTAGTTGGCCAGCTGGGGCTCTGTGTTCCCCCATTATTTGGTGATTTCATTTAGAGCTTCTTCATATATGTATATATTTTTGAAATCTTCTACTGTATTAGGTTTCCATACACCCCCTCAAATTCCCCTTAATTTTAGTTGTCTCTTCCCAGATTCCCTCCTTGATGCCCCTCCATTTGATTCTCCCATTCTAGTAGCCTCCACCAGAAAGGATACACATAGCCAGAAACCAAGGACCGGAATCTTTAGTCACAAGTCATGTGACTAAAACCCCTGATGAAGGGAGAGTTTGGTGTCCCTTCCCCAACCCTCCCTGCACCTGCTTCTGCTTAGGCCTTGCTGTGCCAATCTTAATACTGTTCAAGAACCTCTCTGTTCTTCATGCAGGACCAAGAAGGGGTGATGGCTGACTGGGAACTCTCCAGTCCCACTATTACATAGTGAGCTTGTCTCTTGGGGTGACATACAGCTACGTACACACATGTGTTGGCTTTGTCTCACCTAGTATAGTTATTACTATTAAAATGCAGGAGATTTAAAAAGCTTTCAGGGAGGGACCTGAAAGTGATTAATTTTGTTGCCCAAAGGTACTGAGCCTAGGAACTAAACACAGACTGTTGTGATTTATATCTACTGGAAACCAAGCAAAGACATCTGGTCAATCATTTTAGCAGGATTTTTGGCAAACTGGTTTGTGTGGTGCAGGGCTGCGTGCGTTTCCCAAGGCTCTGGATGTTGGAGGAAGCCAGGGTCGTAGCTGCTGCCTAAATGGGTTTCACAGGGAGCGCTGCTGCATTCGGCCAAATCACTGGGGACAAATATTAATCTTTTCCTTAAATGCTTAATTTTCAAATTGCCAAAGTAAGAAAGGCTCATTGCAAAATAGATAAATAATAAATAGATAAATAATCCCATATAGCACACACGAGTGACTGACAACTACTGACTTGTACCCATGCTTTGGAGGCTGGCGTTTGTGGAAGATACAGGGGCCACTACCAAAATATTACACCAAACATAGAGAAGGAGACCTCACCCCAAGGTGTTGTGACTCGAGGAAGGGGGCACAGATGAACTGATGTCAACAGCCAGAATCTGTTCACCACACACCAGTGTCAAATCTCAGCAGGAGGATGAAGGCCGGAGTCTGCCTGTTGACCTGCACTGGATACTCAGGAATTTCCCAGTGGGTGTTTACAAATGGAACTCGCGTGTATATCTAGTAATTTCTAAAACTCTCTGAAATTCTCACACGTGGGGAAAAAAGAGAGCAGAAGAGGAAATAGCCCAGGACTGAGGGAGAGAGCAAGTGACACACACAGTAGGACCCAGCGGCATGTGGCAGTTAGCCCTGGGCACAGAGGTTCCCGGGTGACAGCCAGGACCTCTGGTCACTGCACATCGTGGTGAGTCACACTAAGCTGAGAGACAGAACTCGTTCTGAGTGACAGGGACCCAAGGACAAATCAGATCTGGTGCCCTGCCCTTGAATCCTATAATGGGAGGAGGGAGCTGACTTCATGAATATTAACTCCAGAGTGTGTACACTAGCAGAGGAAGCTCCAGCATAGCTAGAGAGGAAAGGAGTGGCTAGTTGCTCCCCACTGAAGAAAAGTGGGTGCTGCCAAAGGCTGAGCCTTCACACTCAGGGACAGCGAGGCTCTGAGCATGCCTCCACCTGTCTCTTATTCTTCTCCTTCTATTTCCGGTAGTTTTCTTTTTCTATAGAAATTTGAATTCAAACATAACTTCCCTAAACTCCTGTAACTGATAGAGAAGCTGCGGGTCCACGGCGAGCTGACAGGACTACTGTGAACTACTGTGTCTGACTTTTCCCCCTCCTTGTGTCTACGCAGCCTTCGAAAGACCTAGCACTCCACCTGTCAAACAGTCTTGAGAGAGCCTGAAGCTTCTGTATTCAAATCCCCACACAGGGGTGAGAAGGTGGGGCAGCAGCAGCGGCTAGGACAGGCTGTGGTTTGCCAACTCCAG